TATTGATTTTTTACAGAGAGGAAGGGAGAGAGATAGAGAGTTAGAAACATCGATGAGAGAGAAACATCAATCAGCTGCCTCCTGCACATCTCCTATCGATCAGCTGCCTCCTGCACATCTCCCACTGGAGATGTGCCCGCAACCCAGGTACATGCCCTCGACCGGAATCGAACCTGGGACCCCTCAGTCCGCAGGCCGACGCTCTATCCACTGAGCCAAACCGGTTCCGGCGAGTGTGCTACTGTATACTAAGTGTTTAGCAGAGTGCCTGGGACAGAGTGAAGTGCTCATTAAAAGCTATTTTTTGAATCACTCATTTTCTTCTATTTTTTTTTAAATACTCACCTGAGATTATGTTTTTATTTATTTTTTAGAGAGAGATGAAGAGAGAGAGAAAGAGAGAGAGAGAGAGAGAGAGGGAGAGAGAGAGAACCGAGAGAGAAACATCTATCAGTTGCCTCCTGTACACTCCCTAACTGGGGACCAAACCTGCAACCTAGGTATGTGCCCTGACAGGGAATCAAACCTGTAATCAGCTGAGCCATCCAGCCAGGACTCTCCTACTTCTTTTTATTTCATCCTCTCATTGCCATATTCTTCACAGGTTCTCTCACAATAACTGACCATGCAGACCACTGTGAGGAGGCATAGAAATAACTGTGGGATTCAGAGTCAACTGACTTGGGGAAGGGATGATAAATTCTTTTTAGCTTAATATTTGAAAGCCAAGGCCAGTCTGTTTATACTTATACAAATGCAGTTCTATAAATGTAGTTCATCCACTTATTCCATTCTTCACACATTATTTTTTTTCTTACTGTCATTTATTGAGCCCAGTGCAGACTTGACCATTGCCTGAGCTGGAGAGAATAGATGCCAGCTCACAGGAACCATAGGTCAGAAATGACCATAAAGAATTTGTATTGGAAGGTGGGCTGAGCTTGGGGTGGATCATCTAGAAAGTATGTGGGGTGAGATGCTGATATGAGAAAGTAAGAAAATAAGATGATAATATGAGAAATGGGATTGAGGTTTGTGTAAGTCTCAAAAGCAAATCTGCAATCAGAGTCTGTTATTTAGCCAAACCAGAAGGTATGGCCATGGTCTGGCCACCTCATAGGCTGGACGAGATTAGAATTCAGAGGTTGACACAGGTAGCAAGCACAGACACAGATGCATTGAGGGGTGGGTGTTCAGTGGTCAATGTCTCAGCCACGGAGGCTGAGGTGACAGGCACCTGTCTGAGTTTAACACTTCAATCTAAGTACCAAGTCACAGGACTTGCATTGAGAGGCTGAGGCATAGGTTTAGGACCTAGGATAGGTGAGTAGTCTACTCAACCTCCTCAGCACACACTGGACATAGCTGTGTCCCAGCTCAGGGCCTTCACCTCTTACCCTCTGAACTGGCTAAGACCAGCAGGTGGGTGCTTCTTTTCTAGGCAAAGCATCGGCATTCAGATACTAGAGCTTACAGCAGAAGATCCTAAAGAGAATCCCATTGTCTGTTAAATGCCCAAATTTATTCTTGATCTTCCTAAGAAATGAGAGGTACGGTAAGTATGAACTAATAAGTTCAAGTTGAAAACCTCTTGGCTTCTTAACCATTGCAGGAGTTATTGACCCATTAATCAGCCCTGTCAATCACCAGAGGCTCATTTGACTCCAGGAACCAATCACAGTGGTGGCAGGTGACCCCTTTGCATGGCCCAAACATCCATCCTCTCATCTTCTGCTAAATTTTTTGTTGTGCAGCAGTGTAACAAGGTAAAATACATTATTTGCACTTTGTCTGGTCTCAACCAGTACTTGCTGTAGATAAATGTTGATTTCAAATCTGGGCCTTGTATGAAATGTTAATGGTGTGCTACTGGGGAGAGTAGAAAATGCCACTGGAGAGATAAATTAAAAGTGCGGAAGCCCTAGCTGGTTTGGCTAGTGAATAGAGCATCAGCCTACAGACTGAAGAGTTCAGGTTCAATTCCAGTCATGGGCACATGCCCAGGTTGCGGGCTCGATCCCCAGTGGGGGGTGTGCAGGAGGCAGCCAATCAATGATTCTTTCTCATCATTGATGTTTCTATATCTCTCTCCCTCTCCCTTCCTCTCTGAAATCAATAAAAAAGGAAGGAAGGAAGGAAGGAAGGAAGGAAGGAAGGAAGGAAGGAAGGAAGGAAGGAAGGAAGGAAGGAAGGAAGGAAGGAAGGAAGGAAGGAAGGAAGGAAGGAAGGAAGGAAGGAAGGAAGGAAGGAAGGAAGGAAGGAAGGAAGGAAGGAAGGAAGGAAGGAAGGAAGGAAGGAAGGAAGGAAGGAAGGAAGGAAGGAAGGAAGGAAGGAAGGAAGGAAGGAAGGAAGAAAGAAAGAAAGAAAGAAAGAAAGAAAGAAAGAAAGAAAGAAAGAAAGAAAGAAAGAAAGGAAGAAAGAAAGAAAGAAAGGTGAGGGAAATGCAGCTTAGTGGAAATGTAAGCAAAACCCAGGTTCAGCCGCCTGCTGCAATGAAAGACAGGTGCTGGCGAGAAAGGAAAGAGGTTATTTTAGTGTCGGCCACCTAACAAGATGGGGGACTCTTGTCCCAAAGCCCATCTTCCTACCTCAGTGCAGGCAGAGGTTTTAAGAAGGGAGAGGCAAAGCAGAATAGAGACCAAGGGGAGGGAGTTGAAAAGTTCTCTACATGCAGACCAACACAGTCCATTACAATAAGGTTCTAGAAACTGGTGAAGTGATGGTCCGGTGCGTGCCATCCTGGTTTTGTGCCACCCAGGTTTTGTGTCATTCTGGTTTTACAGTTGAAGATCAATAATTCTGCTAGAGCTGGGATGACTGAAGGTTGGAGTCTGCATCTTCTGAAGTAAGTTCCTAGGATTTTTATACAAACATGCTGTGTATCTACAAACTACATATTAGTCAGAGTCAGTATTTACAGAAACAATATCAAAAGAATAGTGGGGTGGGTTATAATTCCTCACTGTTACTGAAATAGCATTGAGTAGGATTTAAGAGATCCAAATTCAAGTTTTTGTTTTACTATTAACTGGACTGCAACCTAGATTGGCCTCAGTGTTGCTGGCTGTTACATAGGGTAATACTTGAGTTTTTTATTTGAGCATAACAATGAGTTGATGAGATATAATAGGTAGAAGGATTTGGGCACCAAACAGCACTTAATTCTTTCATTCTAAAATATTTGCCTATATCCACATATAGGTAGCTACCTAAATGTTGCAGGCCAGGAGATTTGAAACAGGTACGAAGGGGAAACGGAGTTGGTGTTACTCAGGGCCCACGCTGCCTAGAGGGTGAGGCTGGGCCTCAGCTATTAAGAAAGAAGGAAGCAGAGTGGAAAGGACCAGGTGGAGGAGGGGGGCTAGAGCCTAGAAGAGAAACTGAGGTGGGAAGAAGACTACAGCTCCCTTAGGTTCAACAAGCAAAGATTATATCCAGGAAACCAGACCACAGAGATCAGGAGCCAGTCAGGAGCCTGGAAAACAGAGGCTCAGAGGGTCAGAGGGGGGACTGCCGAAGGACTGGCCCGCCAGCCCCTGCTCAGGAGGAGTCTCAGTGGAGAACAGGGGTTTTCAACATTTCCCCTTACCAGACCAGGTGAAAAAGTAGACTGAGGGGACACATAAGCAATCTCTAAGTAACTATAAAATAAAGCAGTGGTTCTCAAGCTTTAGTGTGAGACAGAATTGCCTGGGGGACTTCCTAACACACAGCTTGCTGGGCCCCACCTCCACAGTTTCTGATTCAGTAGCTCTGGGGTGGGGCCATCCCCCGGAGTATTTGCATGTCTGACACGTTCCAGGTGCAGCTCATCTGCTGTTCTGGGGATAACACTGTCAGTTGTTATAACTCCTGACCCATGAAAGAAATGATAAGCAGCAGAAGCCCGTCAGGAGACTCCTGGTTTCCTACTCACCACAGCAAGTGTTCTAACCTGGCAGACTCAGACCCACCCAGGGCGGACACCAGGCAGGAGCCCTGGCGTGGGTGGCACTGCTACTGTCTTCTCCCTCTCATGTTAATCTTGGACATGGACAGAGCACCTGGTGCCCTCTCAGCTTTATTTCCAAGACTTAGAACCTCAGGACAGGTTGAGAACTGCCACTTGTGGGCACAAAGAGGGGCATTTTTCTTTCTTTTTTGAATATTTGCAAGTGGAAAAATATCTGCTGTATCTTGTGGAATCTCTTCCCTCATGCTATGCCTGCCGTTCTTCCAGTCTTGGTGGTGGTTATGATTACTGGGTTGCATTGTATCACTTTTTGTGATTCTTCTGCACTAGTTGTACACTTTAAATTAGAGGATGTTGGAGAGGCTAGTTTACTCTTCACTCTGGGTAACAGTTAGCAATGTGATGGATAATGTATGCAGGGTCTTGCTCCCCCTCCCCTTTCCTCCTATCCTTCCCTCCCATTAACACACACACAGAAGCCTTACACTCTTCATTCACTATCTTCTAAAATCTCTGGTGTGGGAGAGAGAGACTAAGTAGAATATAAGGGGAAGTAAATTGTTAAGCATAGAAGAGAGAGTGGGGTTGGGCATGGCTGGGGCAGGGAAGTTTCTTTACTCTGTTCACTAATTATGGCTGCATGTTAGAATCACAGGGAGTTTTTCAGGACATGATATTCTGATTTAAACTGATATAGGATGGACCCTGGGAATTAGAGAATTTGAATCACCTCAGGGGATTCAGATGTGTAGCCAAATCTGGGATTCAATGTTCTAAACCAATTTTTCTTAAAGACATGTGGGTGCTGAGTACAGATGCATTTTTCTGTAGCTTCCTTTGAACTACCACAAGCCAAATTACTGCAGGCTGGAGGCTGCCACCTATGGGATAGGTTAGAAGTCAATGCCACAACCCTAAATTTAGACAGGTAAGAATAGGAAGTAGAACAGGTGGGCAAGATAAAAAAAAATATAAGTGCAAAAGGCAGCAAAAAAATTCCCAGGATGTGGATGACAGAGGATGGGACCAATTTAGGAGCATGAGCCAAAGGCTTCAGTGCCAAGAGAGCAAACAACCAAGATCAGATTACCCCAGACTGGTGTAGCCAGCCAGTACAGGGATAAAGCTTAATTCTAAAACCAACTATGGCCCAAATCAAGAACTCCATATGTCCCATGTCCTTGGCCAGAACTGGTAAGTAGGACTGAATTCACCAGCGGTATCTGCAGCCAAAATAGGAAATATAGAAAGCTAGGAGGGTCTTGAAGGAAGGGACATGAAAAGTAGAAAATGCAGAGGAAATTGTTTGGTTAACATAATGCTTAACAGTCAGTTTCATTGGTTTTTGTTTGTTTTTCACCAAACTGAACAAATGTTTCTAATGTAGTATAGACACAGCCTGAGATAATGGGAATGCAAACATAACATTCTCATAGAGAGATACTCCTTAAGCTTTAATATCACAAGTGAGTCTCCTGGGGATCTTATTAAAATGGTGATTCTATTTCAGTAGGTCTGGCGTGGGGCACCAGAGGCCTAAGACTCTGATTTCTATGACTCCGATGCTGATCTGAAAACCACTCTTGAGTAGCAAGGACTTAGAGGAGAGGGATGGTGTCCACTTAAAACGTTCTGGAGAACACCTCCCAGAAACCTGTTGAGTCACTACTGATATGGAGGTTGGCACTGCTTTTCCTCATTTCTCAGATCATTTAAGGGAGTCTATGGTTTGTGCAGAAAGGTTTCATCCCCTGAGAAGAGTACCTTTCTGCAGACATAAGTACAAGGACGGCAGCATGCTATAAACAATGTCTATTTCCCATTACCCTCTCTTCCTCCCCACATCTGTCCCATTGGGAAGACTGATGTTCTACAGTGAGCCAGGTTTGAGTTGACCTAGTGAAGCAAGAACCACAGATAAGTGACCTGTTACCTGGGAACAGAACAGCAATTATTTTATAAATGAATGTCAATGAAGTATAATTTTCTGCTGTAACAGAATTTCTACACCTGACAGTATTTTTAATATACTTTAATTAAGAAGTTAATCTGTTGTAGAAATTGCTTTTCTATGAAGCCACCTGAAATCAATTTAAACTCAATTACAAGTGGTTAGCTATTGTTTATGTGGTTAAAGATTAGAGAATACATTTTTGCTTGTCAGGAGCCATCCAAGCAAATTTTGAATGTCATGATCAATGGAGAGTCTGAATAGCTGAGTGTTCTTTAATGGGCCTAGAGAAACCATTAGAAAATGTAATCAGTCATATTTGATGAATTGACCTTGGGACTCAGCTAGAAAAGGGTCTAATCATTTCTGTCCCATAAGTGCCACCAGGATTGCTCTGCTAAAATTAATTGACCATTACGTGCTCTCTGAGAGCCTAATATACCCTATTTGATGGGATATAAATTGTAAAAATAATCTGTAAATTATATAACAAGCTTCAGAGTACATTTGCCCTCTGTCTCTTTAGCATAGATTAAATCTGACAGCTAGTTTCAAAATGATCAAAATTGCTTAACTACTCTGATAGTTTGGAATGCTTGCATTTTACAAAGAAAAAAAAATCTATTGCACAACATGTGCCCAATCTAAAAATTTGAGTTACAACCCATTTCCCATCAGTGAAATGTAGAGATAAAAAGAGGCCTGAAAAGGTTTTGTAGGGCTTGAATGCATTATTTTATTCAATTGCTTAGTAATAGCTTAGCTGCTATTAAAAATTTGGATGCATGTCAGAGACAAGGAAGCTGTTTTGAATCCTATCCACTTCTGTGTTAAGTATGTGAAAGAATTATATGCCTCTAATAGGCCAGCCAGCTTGCTAATGTGATATCCCATAGTCTGGTTAAATGATACACAATGACAGTGCACTCAGCTGATTACCGATGGGTTAAGGGTTTCTTATTATCTTTTCAGGTGTCAAAATAATGAATCCAATTACCTCCTCTGTTTGTGTGTATTCTTCTGGGATCAAGACATTCTGCCATTATAGTGTACACATCCCATGACATTTGGTAAAGTGCAGAAAGTCTTCCTCTAGAGCCCCCCGCCCCCACCCCCCAAGAATTGTTTTAAATTTTTTCCTTTGGGCTGACACTTTCATATTTAGAATAAACCTTCCAGGATTTTCTTCCATAAATGTTGAATGGTTAACTGTTGAGTACAAGACCATCTGTTTCTGTCTAATTGGCATAATGAGGGAAGACCACATTTTTGAAGCCTGGAAAAAAAAATTGCTAGAGTGGGCTCAGCATGGTATTTTGCATAAAGGACTAGAGCAGCTACCTAGATGCCAGGATAGTGAAAAAAAATGGACCTTTGAAATATTTAATATCACTTGGGATTTGAGTCGGGGTGAAGCTCAGCTACAGTACCTTAGGGCTCTGGTCCATCTATGTGGGTTCAAATCCTGGCTCTATCACTTCCTCATTGTGAGCATTTGGGCACACTTAGAGCCTCACTTAAAGTGAGCCTATTAATGCCTCACTTCCCCAACTGTCAAAGGGGGAATAATAATGCCGATTAAATGCAGTAATGTGTATGAAATGAACATTTTACAGAGTGTCAGGCATGTACACTTACTAAGCTCTTAGTCATAATCAAATAAAACATAAAATATTTTGGTATCTCTCTTTTCTGAGCCCTAAATAACGGTGCATAATTTGAGAAAGATTTTCCCCCCTGCCTTGCAAAATTTTTGATATGAAAAGTCTTATGAAGATACCAAATGAAGCTATATTTGAATTTTTCATGTCACAAATGCCCTTGATGACCACTCCTCCTGGGGTGAGGATGGAAGTGAGGGATAGGGAAGGTTTCTAAGACAAGAATTGCTGTTCTGTTTCCAGGTGACAGGTTACTTATCTGTGGTTCTTGTTTCACTAGGTCAACTCAAACCTGGCTCACTGTAGAACCTCCACCTTCCCAATGGGACAGATGTGGGAGAAGACAGGGGAATGGGAAACAGACATTTCTCAGGATATGATGCTATCCTGGGTTGTTCTCCGAGCTGGGCCATAAACCAGCTGTGAGAGGTTGAGAGCAAGAAGTCGCTCATTCTCTGGGCTCAGTTGATTTGTGTGAAACAATAGGGTTAAACAGATGATAGCTAAGGTTGTTTAGAGCACTGAGATTCTATATTGCTGACAACCTCTATAAGAACATTTCCTGCTCCACACCCAGGAAACAGTTCGAGGGTGAGCAGGACAGCATGGGCAATGTTGTAACCCCCACACCTGTGGCTTTCAGCTTCTTGCTGCCTGATCCGTCTGCTCATGGCACACATAGTCCTTCATGGGTGGCCACAAGTGGGTGGCCAGTCACTAAGGTAAGGTTACAGAGCTTTTAAAAGTCATAGCTCCCTTTGAGAAACATAAAACAAAAATCCCACACGTCTTCAATTTGCTCCATCTTGGGAGATGCTAATAAGCCTCCATCATACCCCCAATATGTTCTTTCCTGCTTTATGATTTGGGGAGTATCTGCTCTGTTGCACCTTGTCCCACTTCTCTCCAAATGTCCACCCTCAGCAGAGGTTGTAAAAGGGCATCCGGTGGATCAGATTCAGCCCACAGAAGACATTATTGTCCCCCCAAAAGAATTTCCAAAATTGGAGTTAGTTCCCAGCGTTTAACGATCAGAAGACTTCACATAAAACCCACATTTCAACTTCCTTTGAAAATATAACAAAAAGGAAAATATGATCAGAATTTCCCCAGAAAGGAAGACCTGTTTCTTGCACCAGCAGGTGAAGAGTCTGGCCAGGATATAAAAAGGGCACCACGCTTTCTCCTCACTCTACAGTGTCTCAGCTGAATGATGTCCCCTCGAACCTCTTTAAGCTGGCACAGGACCATCATGTTAACCAGTCGCCTTGAGAACCTGGTTGCGAAGGAGCCTCTTTGGAGAACATGACTCCTGCTCCCTGGCTTGCTTCACTACTTCAAGTTGTCTGCCAGGCCCTCTAGCCATTTGATTCTGTGCCCCTCTCACGGGTTCATACATAAAGTCTCACCTTTAAGAGGCCCAGTTCTTTAAGTTTCAATCCTTGTGAACATGCAAATCCCTTGAACAGGATTCACACTTTGAGATTTTAATAAATTATATGTCACTGTGCAAAAAGCTCTAAGTGCATGTTTTGCTAGAAACAAAGAGGAGAGGGTTTGGGGACACATAGGTTCTAGGCTGGGCTAGAGGATTAAATCAAGAATCTGGGAAGAGTGGGAGAGGGCCTGGGGCTGGATAAAGGACTGACAGCTTTCAAGTCTTCCTGAAAGTAAGCAGGAGGCAGGGTGAGATGGGGAGTGACATGGTCCTCTCTTGACTAGAATAGTTTCCCACAATCTCGTGGGGGCATTAGTGCTCCCAGCGCTCTGCTGTCTGTAGGAAGACAAAGAATCCTCAGGGCAACAGAACAATGGAGATGAGGTTTGGAGTAACCTTAGTGCAACTAATTTTAGGACAGAAATTTATGCAAATTGCATGCTGCCCTTGGACTTGATTTTCCTCAGATGCTAAATTGCCTTCCAGCTCTGAATATATTTAATTCCGGTTTCCTTTGCTGTCCCATAAGAACTGTGCCTTTTGGCTGTATGAGGCTTTACCTCTAGTGTAACTTGCATTCGACTTCCCGTGATACACTCAGTTTATTTGCCAATTAGGCCACAAATGAGTCCTGTTTAAACAATCCTGAAGAAATTGTATTCCAGAGAAGGTTTGTATTAGAATCACAGCATCACTAAACCAAACCTAGTGAGGACGATACCACTGGTGGCTAATGTCAACCCATGAGATTGAGTTTAATGTACTGGTCATTGGCTGACCTCAGAAAGAGTCAAAGGCCATGAAATCAATATCTACATAGTAATTTCAATACAATATTCAGAATTACCTTGAATTGAGTCACTCACTTGAGATCTCAGCTGCTGAACCAAATGCAAGAACAGATGCCTGCAGAGTGCACGTGCAGACAGAAGGAAATTCTGACTGAGAAGATCATCTCCACTGACTTAGTCATACAATGAAAGGTTTCACTCCTGAACAAAATACTTTAACAGGCAACGGCTTTCTGCTTTGTAGTCTGAAAGCTCTCTGTAACTCCATTTCTCTAGAAATAGCAAGCATACTGTGTCACATTAAATTTCTTCTGTCAGCTGAATTGTATGGCATGAAATTTTAGGTTGAATCATTTTGTCTAAAAAGGAAAAAAAATAGGTCATTTGCCTTTTCTTCATAATTTTGTTTGTTCATTACTGGGTACTTCAGCCAAATTCAACTGAAGGAATAAAATATAGCTTATGCTGTATGCAGATGTGATATGAGGTTTGACTTCTCTACAAAAGCTGTAAGAATATTCTTTTATCAAATAGTTAAAAACACAAATTCTACCATTCTTATGCAACTTTCCTATCTGTATATTCTCCTGTAACCTTTTATAATCATATTTATATGGTGGTACTGAAAGTTAAAGCATAATTTTTCCTTTTGTTCCGTTAACTTTATAAACTTACTGCATTGGCTTCATTTTTAAGGACTGGATAACAATCTATCAAATCTACCATTGTGGTAAATTGCAAAACAGCTTCAAATTCTTCACCTCTCCCTGTTTCTGCATCCTTTGCAATGTGATTTGTTAGCTCCTCCCATCAGGGGGTAAAGTTTATTTTCCAGTGCTTGGAATATGGACTGATCTTGTGACTTGCTTTGGCTAAGAGAATGTAGCAGAAGTGATAATGTGCAGATTCTATGGTTGTGCTTCATGAAGACTTGCATACTTCTGCTTTTTTCTTGGAACCCTGCTGTAGACTATCATCCTCAGAAAAATCCCAAGCAAGTCTACTAGGGACTGAGAAACTATGTGGGGGGGGGGGGGGGGGGGGGGAGGGGGAGGGAAGGAGGGGAACCAGTCAACCTAGCCATTATAGCTAAGCCTTCATAGACCAGCCAGCTCCAGTTGACCTATAAGCTGACCACAGATGCATCAAGGAGTCCAGCTGAGACCAGAAGAAACCCCCAGCTGATCTATTAACTCATATGCAAACACAAACACTTGTTGTTTTAAGCCAGAGTGTTTTGGGGTGATTTGTTATGTAGCAATAGCTAACTGATAACACCATAATTTTCTTAACTATTTCCCTTTTGTTGTTTATATAGGTGTTCCCAAATTTTCTTTATTACAAAACAGTGTTGTGCTGAACATTTTGGTACAAGTGAATAATTTTTTTCTATTAGAATTTTTATTTAGTTAAAGGAAACTGGCAATTAGATTTTACCTTCTATAACGCTTTGCAAAATACTATATTATTGAAATTCTGAGGTCATCTATAGGATTATCATAGTCAAACAAAATCTAAGTTTTTATATTGCATAACTGCTTTAAACATTCATATGTGGAACAGTTAACATCTGTTTCCCTACAAAAACATATGGCACATGACCCTCTCCAATCTCAAACCAGGCAAGTCTCAAAAAACTTAGAAGCTTACAGAAATTTCTGTTTTAAAAGAGCAAACACTGAGCATATGGACTCCTTTCAGATGGTTCTAAATAATAACCTATATTTATTTACTAGAGGCCCAGTGCATGAAAATTCATGCACTGGAGCGGGGGGGGGGGGGGGTCCCTCAGCCCAGCCTGCACCCTCTCACAGTCTGGGAGCCCTCAGGAATGGGAGGTGGCCTGGCAATCAGGGGAAGGCGACTGGGGGGCTGAGGGCAGGTCCGGCCGCACTGTGTGCCTGTTGCCCTCCCACTCCCGGCTGGGCTGAAAGGACTGTGGGACTCCAGCAGGGCTGAGAGGACTGGGCACCGCCATCTCTGTGATGGCATGATGGTCAATTTGCATATTCCCTCTGTATTGGATAGGATTTATTTTTACCAGCTCATCTTTGCTCCTCCAGAGAAACCATGATGAGCCCAAAGTTTGGCTGTCTCCGAAAAAATGCTAAACCACTTGCTAAGTAATTGGTGGCCACTCAGATTTATTGGTGGTGGTAGTAGGGGTCTCTGCCAAGTCATTTGTTTAAATAAAAGTTCATCTTAATTAATAACACATAAACTGAAAGAACCCAATGATAATAGTGCCAATTATTTATCATGTTTCTTCATTTTATGTATTTAGGCCTTGCCCAATAATGGTCTATATGATATCAAAGCCAGTCTGAGATTATTGTTTTTTTGTCTTTTTTTTATTGAATTTATTGGGGTGACACTGGTTAACAAAATTATAAAAGTTTTAGGTGCACAATTCCACAACACATCATAAGATGATTGATATTTGAAAATAATTGTGGGAGAGAAATATTGGGAATCAAAGGTCTATCCTTTTACTAAATTAGATCACCAGAAAGCAATATAGCTATGCTATTTATTCTAGGTCCCTTGGTCCATTATTGTTATTGTCATTATAGATCTGTTATTGATATTTCTTTAAGAAAAAAATACCATGAAACATTTTTGGAGCTTTGAAAATTATTCTTGATATATTGTCATTTCTGTTTTTCACCATTTCTTACATATCAAACCAGAAAATACATTCCATTTAGATTTTGAAATTATTTTACAGTATCTCTTCTTTGGTAAACTGTTGTACTTCTTTTTGCTAGCTGTTGGGAATTATACTCATCCTGTTGACATTTTTATTTGATTAGGAGGAAGCGCAAGTGCAATATGTACCTTTACCCAGATTTTTCTATAACTCTTCTCCTCCTCCCTCTGTCTTTTCCTCCATGGCTTACTTAATGTTTTTATCTTTATTATAATGGTTCTATTATATTTATGTAGTTTTGCAGGTTCCTTTGAATATATTTGGTGATATTCCTGCCCTATCTGGACTACCTAGGCTTCTGGTAAAGTTTTAGTAGTTTGATCATTTGCCTTAGTGAGAAAACTAGAACTATCATTATGTGGTATTAGAATCATGTGATGCTTCACTCATTTTTCAGAGAAGTAAATAAAGCTCAGAAAGTGGCTGTGACAGAGGCAGCTCTATGTCCACTACTCTTACTAAAAATGTGGAAAGCAGCTCCTGATTCATTTTACTCAGCATAAGGGTCTTCATGATTAAGAGAAAGATACTAGAACATTTTTTATTTCGTGTTAGTAGAAGTTGTATTTTTCCAAGCTTTTTTTTTGGCATCTACCCCTTCTTACCCAAATCTAAATAAAGTCCAAGAGGTTGGTAAGACAATTCTCCATTTAAATTTTGAATTTTAATGTTCTTATTCATTTATGTAATTCAGATTTCTTGAGTCACACCCACTAAAAAACCAAGAGCCTGAATTAACTGGCTCAAGACTCTCCCTACCCAGTCATCCTGAGATTCCAGACTAAAATACTTACAAACTCTCCATATTTCCCCAGGATCCCTTGTCACTTTTATATGAAGGGGAGAGGGAGAGAAAACAGCATAAGTTCCTGTCCCCTCTACCTGAGCAGTTGGAATCTCAGGTTAGGATCATCTGCTACAAGGGTCATGAGGGCAAAGGGACTCTGTGTGTCCCTCTGCAGCCAGCATGATCCCCCACTCCCATCAATCCCCACTTCTCTCAGGACCCTTCCTACACAGCATTGTCCCAGGAGACCGAGGGCCATCATTATACTCCTGAGGCCTGCTTAGCTCAGGTGTGCTCAAGTGACCCAACTTGTAAAAATGAATAATTTGTATATGAGTTGCCACTGTATAATAAGATTGCATCTCCCTTAAAAAAATGTTTTCTTTAAATGATTGTTTTTTTGGGGGGATGGGTCTTTATTAAATACAAGAACTTAGCTAAACCAAGGAACTATAATCTATAGTAATAAAAGCATAATATGCTAAATAGACTGGACAACTGAACAACCTTCTGGATGTCATTCCGGATGTCCTTCCGAATGAAGCCATGGTGGCGGGGGCTGAGGCAGAGGTGGTTAGGGGCGATCAGGCAGAGAGGCAAGCAGTTAAGGGCAATCAGGCAGGCAGGCAGAGTGGTTAGGGGCAATCAGGTAGGCAGGCAAGAAGTTAGGGGCATCAGGCAGGCAGGGAG